TGCAAGCATTCCCACTACAATTTCAATATTGGATGCCTTTGGTTAATGAATGGTAGATGTATTTTCTATTAGTGTGTGCATTGTGTTGCAGTGTTTTAGACTGAAATACAAAATCTGAAATCTGAAGGAAATCTAAATTCTGTCAAAGAATGGGATCTTTCTTTTGGTTAATTTTTAACCAGATTTTTCAAAAATTAACAAAGTGTGAATATTGTAGAAAAATCAACTTACATATGTTGCCCATATCTTACACACCGGTGCGAGTTTGATTTCACTTTGTTTGAAATACAAATGGGAAAGACAATGGAATTGGTGGATTTGCCCATTCCATTTTCCGATGTGTATATTAATCCAGGGAGCGCAGATCAAGTTGGTTTCCTTTTAAATATGAAAGAAACCAAAACCATGTTTGAACAAAATCCAGCATTCTTCTTCATTGATAGTTCACAGTCCTACATTTATCACTCTCTGTGTTAACATTCAGTGATTTTTCAGGCACCTTCTACCCTAGCCATATAAAATCAAAATTATCTGCTTTGAACTGGAATATATGACAGTGTAGACTCATATAATCAAGTTCAAAGCACATAATGTGGATTATCTGTTTTGATAATCTGGATTATATAGCAGTGTAGAAGGGGCCTTAGGGTGGTTCTACACAGCAGAAAAGTTTGCACAAAGTCAGGTTTAAAAAACCCGGTCGGGGCAGACTGTAGTCTTCATACTGTCCGAAAAGCCCACACTTTCCACGGGCATTGTCTACATGTTCTCACAGGACCTACCGGGAGAACAGGGAGACAACCCCCAACCTTTCCTCAAACCCCTTTAAAAAGTGTTAAGAAATAAAATTACTTATGGGACTGATGTTTCCTTTCAGCTGGCCCTCTCCTGGTGCTTAGGAATGATGAACCAGGAGAAAGAGGGCCAGGAGAGATTTTCCTTCTCCCCGCCTTCTCTTGATGCATCATTCCTAAATATCAGGAGAGGGCCAACAAAAGGGAAATGTTTGCCCCATAAGAAATTTTCTTTTTAATGCTTTTTAAAGAGTTTGACGAGGAAGTTAGAGCCCTCTCGTGTTTTCCGGGTTGATTCAGCCTAGAAAAACATGACAGGGCTGTCTGGACTGCTCCATGCCTTCCAAGAGGATGGAACAAACCCACTAACAAATAATCTCACCACAAAGCAGAGTTTTCCGGCTTTGTGGTGAACATACTTGTTTTCCCTGAGACGTCATCTGGATGCCCCAAGGGAAAACGCAAGAGGGTGCACACTTTAGGTGCTGCATGGATGTGCCCTTAGTTAAAAGACCCAAGCATGCAGTATTATACTATAAATTTGAAATACATTCACAGTATTATATGAAGAGAAAATGAGAAGAGAGAGGAGAAAGGAATCTAGCAGCACTTTTTAGACTGATTTATATTTTAGCGTGAGCTTTTGTGTATGTCAGTCCGCTTCCTCCAATGCAACCCCAGTCATATTAAAGTATCAGGTATTAAGCACATTGTGAGTCTCGTTGTGGAGAGAAAAAGCCTAGTGTAAATAATAATAATAATAATCATCATCATCATCATCATACAATTCTGGGAATAAGATAAAATGGAATCCAAAAAGATGCCAATCTTAACCCTCACTTTAAATCTTGAAAGGACTAGGAGAGGTGATGTATATCTTTCAGATTTTGAAAATGGTTAATATTGAAATATAAAAGTCTGCATCTCAAAAGTCAGTTTCCTTGGGATCATAACATTATTTGAGGATATTCTTTTTGACATATATGCAGTTGTGAAAACTGATGTATTAATATATGTAGTGTAATAATCTATTACATTTATTTATATCACTATGAATAGATTGGAATGTGTTAATAAAACTCTATTCAGTTGTTTCTCTGCCCAATTAGAATTTTGTTAGGTGGAGACCTATTACTTTTAAATCCCATGTTGTAGGTTTTATTCTAGGATTAAAATGTACTGCAAACAATTTATGGGTTTTGCTCTTTCTAATGTGAGATTCTTGTGTATAGACTATCCTATTGGTGCAATGTAGAGTTTAGTGGGATTTTGCTGAAATAGGATTATATGCATCACTTTGAAGACTGAGCAAATGAATGCACCTCTGACATTGTTGGTGATGTTAGTAGCTCCTTTTAATGTTTTTTTTTTCAGTGTAGATGTAGGAACACAGATGGCATCTGGGTTTGTAGCAGGGTCTTTTCCTTATATTACCACTCAAATTTGGTATCTTCTTGTAGATTAGTAGCTATTTAAGGTTAGGAGGTTTGTAGGCCACTAAAGTCCTTCCTCTCTGGCCTCTTCTACACAGTGTTATATAAAATTCAGATAATCCACTTTGAACTGGATTACATGACATCATAAATTCATATAATCCAGTTCAGAGCAGATTATATGGATTATCTGATTTGATAATCTGGATTTTGTATAGTGGTGTAGAAGGTGTCAGAGTCTTGGAGCAGTGATATTCTCCAGAATTGATTGTAGCTCATTAAGGATGTGATTGAATGGTTTCAGCTGGAGGCAGTAGATGACAACTAATTGTGCGTTTCCATTTTCTGGGTTTTCTTTTTACTGCATGAAATAGATTGTTCCTGAGAACCATTCATTCAAGAGTGTGGAGTATCTTCTGGATAGTGTGATTTAGGTGAAAGATGTCAGCATATAACTATTAGGCTTGGGCGGTTTCATTCGTTAATTTCGTAATCCGTTATTAATTCGTATTTAAATTAGCTTACGATCCAATATTGAGCCATGCAGGAATAGTGTGAGGAGTAAATTAGATTCGAAACAATTTTTTCAATTTATTTTGTAATTATTTCGTTATTATTTCGTAATTATTTCGAAATTATTTTGAAATTATTTCGAAATTATTTCGTAATTATTTTGTAATTATTTTCACGTCTGGTGCAAGTTTTATAGTTGTTGTTTGTTTTATCACACCAACAGTCAACAACAGAGGGAGAGGGAAGCTTCAGAAGTTCCCCCTGTCCCATTTGGAGGTTTTTTTAGCATATTGCGCAATCGCGTCCGCCATTAACGAATTGATTCATAATTTTACGAAATTTCGTAAATTTTGAAATTTTTAAAAGCAAAATTTCGGAATTTTTTTAAAAAAACGAAACACGGTGGACCCCTAAAAACGAAGCGAGTTTAGAAACAAATTTTTCCGTTGTTACCCAGGCCTAATAACTATATGTAGCATTCAACGGTTTTAAATACAATGTTGTGCTTAGACATCTATTTTGCAGTTTCGTAATGGTGTCAACAAAGTGAATTTGCAAAACATGACTTGAGTGGAAAACAGAGCAGTATTTAATGCAGCATTGAAATTGAGCTTCTGTTGTTTCCATATTATAAAAGTTAATTACATTCCCAGACAAACCCATCATTCAGACAGTTGCCCATCATCCAAGAGCAGCACTGCTATTCTTGGGCAAGCTTTGGAAATATCCTAAGAGAGATAGTTTATTCACCTTGTGTCTTGTTCCTCAACTTCCAAGCCAAGGAATGTTTTGTTCACAACAGCTTTTATATAGATATGTATGCTCAGAAAGAATGAGTCATCCAATATTTCCCAGTGAGATTCAAAGTTAGGTAGGTTGAGATTTGAACTTGATTTTCAATTGTCCAAGCTCTGCATTCAATCTAATAAGCCACACTAGTCTTTGTTAGCTCTCTTGGCATGGTATAATTAAATTAACAGCATGTGGATCTCATTGTCACTTTCTTCACCCCAGACCTATAAAAGGCAGGGGATATTATCTATTCAAGAATCTACTGTCAGAGAACTGATAACTTCTCTTTCTTTCTCTCATCTTTTGTCTGAAACATCAGGCAGAGAGACACTCATTTTTCACATTTCTCACTGTGCCATGTACTGATAAGGTGATATTATTATTATTATTATTATTATTATTGAAATTACTACTTCTATTAGCATTTTAAATAAAAATTAAGTGTTTTGTGTATATCTAAATTGTACAAGTACAAAACTTTATTACGGTCACTGACCAGCACAAAGCGGGGCACAAGCACCCTGGGAGGAGAAGGACAACTCTCCAGTAAAGCAGTTATATCTAAATAGGTATATCCTGCTTTTCATTTAAAAAATAGATACAGTAAAATACATTTAAAAGAAGAAAATGGCAAAACAATAACATCTCAGAATAAAATCATTCATGAAAAAATAGAGGTAACTGATAGAGAGAAAACTTAGAAAAATAAAAAAAGGATAATGCATGGACAGACAGAGGTGTCCTTAGGAAATGGCAGAAATTGACAACACTAGGAGTTTGCTAAATTGCAGTGGAATAAACATCACATAATGGGAACCAGAGCAGAGAATTACCTCCTCTGAACTCCTGTCAAATGGGCTTTGTATGTGTCCTAAATACCCTAATGGTACCAGATTGCATCTGATCTTAGAAGCTGAGCAAGATCAACCCTCATTAACGCTTGGATGAGAGACCACCAACAAATACCAAATTCTGTAGGCTATAGCTCAGGGGAAGTAACTGGCAAAGCCAACTTAGAATATTCTCTGTCTGAGAAAACCCTATGAAATCAATGGAGCTGCCATAATTCAGCAGACAACTTAAAGGCACATTTATACATAGAAACCATAGCATAGCATAATAAATGGAGTCCTCTCTGAGAACTGAAGTTGCAGGGCTTCCTATAAAGCATTTGATGGCACCTATTCAGATGAATGGGTCAGATCCTCCCCCCCCCCCTTTAAAAAAATAGGACATTTTCATATGAGTCTGTAAACTGCAATGGAGGCTCCCTAGACATGAATAAAATACTTACTACCACATGACATCGTCCTAAACAGTTCAGGCCCAATCTCTCTATCCGACCGCATCTCCCAATATGAGCTTGCCCGAGCCCTACGTTCTGCTGGAGAAGCCTTACTAATTTACATACAGTTAATTTTTCATAATCTATATTTTAACTTGATAAACTATTTTCTTGTTTTTACAGGACATTGTAACAAATGTTTCTCCAAGAATAATACGTGGAACTACCTCGGGGCCCATCTATGGTCCAGGCCAAGGTTCTTTCCTGAACATTGAACTTATCAGTGAGAAAACAGCTGCCTACTGGTGTAAAAGCATCACTGAATTGAAGACCGACTTCCCTGACAAGGTAAAGAAAGCCATGCATATGAAGGCTGGAAAGGAAAAGTGTGTTACTCAGAAAACTGGAAGTAGCTTTAAAAGAGGTTGGTGCTCTGCTCCTTGGGTACATCCCCTGCTTTTATGCAGGGTCAATGGGTTTTTCAGGATTCTGTTCTTGGAACACCTACAGAATGTGTTTGTCTAGAAGGACATTGTGTTTACACTGAAATAAGCAAAGCTTTTCTCAAACTACTTTCAACTCCCTTGAAAGCTGTTTTTCCCTCCAGCTGTGTTTTACAAAGTACACTGTTTATCAAGTTGTAAATATTAATGTATGCAACATAGTTAAATGTGTCTGTGAATTCAACTCAAAACTATCAACATTATAACAGTAAATTTATAGTTAAATGAGGACCGAATTCTGATGCGTGAGTAGAACTCTCTTGGTGCTTATTACAAAATGCTTTGCCCAATTAATGCTTAGAGAAATCATTTTTGGTTAGATTCCTGTGCCTTCTAAAAAGCATGTAGTATTAAATACAGTATTAATTGTTTAGAAAAAATGGAACAAAGAAAAACCTTTCTGAGATTTGACTTAGCAAACTTAATGGGCAGAGAATGATGTTCTCTACTCAAATAATAATATAAAAAACAGAGATGGGCACACAAAAGAATACCAACTAGTGATTACAGTAAAGTAAATTATTGCATTTTGCTATATATTAAAAACAGAAGAAAATTGATATATAATTACTTTTGCATTGTAGTAGAGACATTTTCAATAGCGGGTTCAAGAATCAACTTGCTAGGAATTAAAGCCTTTTGTTGCTATCAGAGCAGTTGACACTGCTTCAGATTGATCTTTAATACAAAATGACTTGTTATAAAATTGTCTTTGAAATCGAGGGTTTAGGTATACTCAGCATTATCCTTTCAGGATAATGCTGGGAGCTGAGCAGAGTTGAACAACAAAAACTCAATGAAGATTTACAAACATTTCTTTGTCCAACCTCTGCTCCACCCTCAGCCAAAGGACCTCTTCACATGGCCCATGCTGTTGCGCCTGGCAGATGCCCACAGAAGGGGTGTGGGATACCGCATGGAGCCTCACATGCCCTCTCTCCTTCCACATCAGATTATGGGGATGGGACTGGGCACGTTAGTACCCTGTCCCCATCAGATGAGAGAAGGGGAGGCAATGTGCAGCAACACGCGTTACCGCCCCCCCCAATCCTATGGGGAAAAGGGGAGAAAAGTGTGAGTAGTTCTGTTGGAGCTATCCCGAAAACACTTTCTTCCCTTCTGGCGCTTCCCCTCCACTACAGGAGGAATGTGGGCAGGGCCTGCTGTGCATCGTCTGATGGTGTTCGGCAGACCCCGTCTGAGACATGGATAAAAGCGGCAAAATGGGACTACAACAACAACATTTTATTGTGGTCTAAAGACCCTTATTGTACCGTAGGTGTACAAAGTATGCAGGTAATGAGATTAAGAACACCCAGTTGATTAAACACAGCAATGGATAAAATCTACAACAGTTAAAAACTGCTTGAGTCCCTACACTGCCCTGAGTTCCTTTTGGGAGGTAGGGCGGTAAAAGACTACAAGAAGTGTCGGCATATTTCAGCCTGTATCTAAAATTGGGGATTGTCTAATCCTGGCTGCCTCAGAAAGAAACTTGGCAACCATCAAGATCACATGGGGAAGGTTGTCACTAAGTAGAAACTTCATATAAATTTTCACTGGACTTGCTTTTAAGTCTTAAGTAGGGGGTTGATTATTTTGTCCCATGTGAAGAGGTCCTAAATCTAAATTTATGATTTTATACTATCTTGGTTCTGAAATATATCTGCTGTTTATATATATATATATATATATATATATATATATATATATATATATAGCCAAGCTTGTCTATGCCTCCTCACTCCCCCTGCCTTCTTATAAATTTAAAACAACAACATATATATCCATTAGGAATGTGTGACAAATCTAATTTCAATATGGAGTTGACTGATTTAACTCAGTCCCCACTTTCCAGGTTGATCACAGGACAAATGTCTTGTGTATGCTCATGCACTCACTTTGAAAGTTGGCTTTCAGATGCACATAAAACATGAACCAATATTTTATTACTTCAACACTGAGTGTAAAAAAAAGAAGACAGAAAACATTATTTTAACACACTTTAGTAAACTAGGGTGGGAATGAGGAAATGCAAACACATTTCAGAAAAGGTAAATACATCTTGTTATATGGCCTCAAGTCATTTCTGACTCATGGTGACTCTAAGGTTTCTGATGTTATGAGTATATGACTTGCCCAAGGCCACCCAGTAGGTTTTCGTGGCCATGCGAGGATTCAAATCCTGTTCTCCAGAGTCATAATCCATTAATTTTACAAAATTTGTGGCAAATGTTTGGCCCTCGGAACTGCATTGCCCTTGTTGGCTAGGGTTTCTGTAAATCGATACTCCAAACAACTGACGGGTCAAACATCCCACATCCCATCACCAGATGTAGCTACATAATTTCATTGACTGAACAGAAAGGTCTAGTGAACTGCAGGGAAATAGATCTTTTAATAGCCACGGGACACACAGATAACGTTTATTTTCACCCTCCACTCCATCATCTGAAACTTCAAAATCACATTCTACATTCCTGAAATATTTGAACACAAGTAAAACTAAAGAAAATCTTTTTCCACCCCCTGGTGAGGGAGATTTTGAGAGAGAAAGAAAGACACACAGAGAGATTCTCAACCTGTCCAATATTGCATTTTAAATCCACTTGGATCAAACTACTGCTGTGACTGCAGACACAATATGGAGCTTATTTCATCTGTTCAGATTCTAAAAACATGGACCTGGTGATAAGTAGCACTTTTTTGGATTGAATTGATAAGATAACTAATAGGGTAAAAGTGATCATTTTAAAGTAACAATATTGAAATGAGCATTTGTACCAATATGTTTGCACAAGTGCATTTGTCCATCACTAAAATATTAGTCCAAAATAATTTTATCTTCTATAGCAGGGGTCTTCAAATGTTTTAAGCAGAGGATTCGTTCATAGTCCTTCAGACTGTTCGGGGACAGACTTCGGTTTGAAAAGACCATAAACAAATTCCTATTCACATGGCACATATCTTATTTGTAGTGCAAAAAAAAAAAAACCATGAAAGAACAATACAGTATTTAAATTGAAGAACAATTTTACTCAACATAAACTTACCAGTATTTCAGTGGGAAGTGTGGGCCTTCTGTTGGATGATGAGAGAGTCAAATTAATTAGGATTGTTGTTGTTGTGTGCCTTCCGGTCGTCTCAGACTTACCACCTTATCACATTGAGAAATTTCCCAGTTGTAGAACACTGTATCCTCTTTTCAAACATAGAGAGGCACTGAGCTCATCACATGAGTTAAACTACTTCTGGACATAATGCATAGCCCTCTGTAGTAGAAAAGAGGCAGAAGTGTTCTGAAAGGAGAGAACTCTGGCAATCAGCATCATCACATTGAGAAATTTCCCCCTTGTAGGACACTTGAGCCTCTTTTCAAGCATGGAGAGGCACAGAGTTCATGACATGTTCCAGGGTTGAAAAGAAGCAGAAATCTTTTAAAAGGAGGGAACTCTGAACATGGGTCCGCAGTCGCATTCAGAGCTCCTACCTGTTTACTCAGATGTTTACAACTGAAAAACAGGTGGAATGGGAACCATCAAAGTTTCATTGCCCAACTGTCAGCAGTCTCTTGCACCCTAAGGGGTTTGATGTAGAACCGTAGGATCCTATGGAAAGCAATGGTTTTAACATGGATCACTGCAGTTTTGTGGAGTACTCTCAGTGTTTTATAAGTAAACTGATGGAGTGAAGATTAAAGGAACTGCAAGCTGCCCTGCAAACCATGAAGGCTGCGGTTCTGAAATTATTTTTAGAAAGTCTCCTCATTTGAAGATTAGATTTCAGAACACAGAGCAGGACAATCCAGAAAAGCAATAAAAGATTTGATATGGGGAATCCTCCTATCATTTAAAAATGTAGACATAGCAATCCCCTGTATGTTTCCCCCACAATGAGTATTGTCTCCATTGGATGGGTCACTACTGGATGAGTTCTATGAGAAACAGGCAAAATATTCTTCATCCCCCACCATTCTGGGAAAATCAATTACCTTCTGTTTAATGGGCATCTCAGTGAGGGCCCTTTCACACAGCCATATAATCCATAATATCAAGGCAAAAAAAATCTCACAGTATCTACTTTGAACGGGGTTATCTGAGTCCACACTACCATATATTCCAGTTCAAAGCAGATAATGTGGAATTTTATTCAGCTGTGTGGAAGGAACCTGAGTCATTATGTACAAAGAAAGAGAAACAAACTAAGGTATGTAAAATAGCTAGAACCCTGTGACCAATGGCATTCAAGCCCAAACACATAACAAGATATCTTTTGGAATTAGAAATGATAGTGAGAGCATGAGAAATAGTGAGCATGATGGGAAATTATTGACTGTTATCTTGCCCCCTTTTGGCACTAACTGTCTATAGAGACAGGTGAAGGTGGATGTTCCTCTTTGTTGTTATTCTTTTACAGGATTAATTATGGAGTCATGGATTATGGTAATGAATAAAAAACTTTTCCAAAACCAGAGATATGGCGATAGGCTTTTTCTCCTTAGAAATATAATGTTGGCCTTCTGTTCACAGGGATCCTGCATTCATGGATCCCCCTCCGCCCCTCTCAAAAAGCAAATCTGTATCTTATGTAAAGGGCACCACTGTACTACCCCATTGTATATAATGGAACTTGAGTATCCACAGATCTTGATATCCACAGGAGGAGGCGTAGGATCTTGAATCCAAAATTCAGCAGATATCAAGGGCCCACTGTAACTGCCAAAAGGTCCCCAGTAAACTAGGAAAAGAAGATCCCTGGCAGTTACAACTGTTGTTATTTTGGCTAATTCTTAGTTTCTCTTATTTTCTAGAAGAGAAAATGTTGACTCTTTTTCCTAACCGTTGG